TTTTAACTTTTTCGAGACTTTTACTACTAAAAAGCCTTGAAGAGTTTTATTGTTAATTAAGTCTTATGTAAAAACTTTTTATCATTGTTTTTTTATCCAGAAAAAAATTGAACTGTATAGGCAACCAACATTACACAAAAAATTTTCAACAAAAAATATTTTTTCAGATTCTGCGGTCATCGTATTCGTATTTTGCAGTGCTGCAACGCTTATACAAAGAAGATTCTTAATTGCACAATTAAATTAAACGAATTTTTGCACTTGCACTTGAAGGTTAGTTTAGTACTTTCATCGCTAAATCACCAACAGTTGGCACTTGACATCTGTCAAATCGTGAAAAAATATGTCGCAAACTCAAAATAAAACGCAAAAAGCATTTCCTTTGCTATTTATGTAGTTTTCCACGCAAAAATACCGTAATTTGATGAAAAAAATGGATGATACGGAATTACGCACTGTTGAACATTCAATCCCGACCGATATTCTCGATGACCTATTAACGTAAGTTTTTCACGAAAAAAACACCAATAATTGAATAATTTGCATTTTAGACGGTTTATAATCTGCGTGCCTGAGTCAGCAAAGCAAAATCTCATCCGAATCTGTTTCCAAATCGAACTAGCCCATTGGTTCTACTTAGATTTCTACGTCACAAACGAGAGCAAATTGAAGACTTGTACCATTTACGAGTTCGCAGCTCACGTGTTCCAGGTACATGGGTGTTAATTTGAGTGGTTTTGTGTCAAAATTGCGTTTTTAGCACATTCCATCGCTGCAAAAAGAGCGTCACAAATTGAACCAGATTTTGGCCGAGTGGAAAGAGTACAAACAGACTGTCCCCACATATGGGGCTATTTTGCTCTCCGAGGGGATGAGTCACGTCCTTTTGGTCCAGAGCTACTTCGCCAAGTCGTCGTGGGGGTTCCCTAAAGGTAAAGTCAACGAGGAGGAGGATCCGGCCCATTGTGCCATCAGAGAAGTCCTCGAGGAGACAGGTTTTGATATCACAAACTACATATCGGCCGATGAGTGGCTCGAAGCCACCATCAACGACCAATTAGTGCGTCTTTACATCATTAAAAATATACCAATGGAGACGAAATTCCAACCAAAGACACGCTACGAAATCAAGGCTTGTGAATGGTTTCCTGTGGCTGATTTGCCCAATAGTAAGAAAGATGTCACACCGAAAATTAAAATGGGGGTTAATGCGAATGCGTTTTTTATGGTTTTGCCATTTGTTAAAAGATTAAAAACGATTTGTAATGTTAATAGGAAAGCGAGACACAAGTCGGCGAGTGTGAGCGAAATGGATAACACTTTGAATAAAAGTCGAGTTAAAGTAGAAATTAATACGAAAAAAACTGAAAGGAGACACTCGAAACGGCAATTGTTTATTGATAATAAAAATGTTGATTTTTGTGCACCATCTTGGCTTAATTTTAAATTTGATAGGACTGCCATCATGGAATGCATTCCTTAAATGTGATATTTGATTTATTGCCAGTAAATGTGTGATTAATTTTTGCAATGTGTCTTTTTTTTTGGTTGATTTTTTTCTAATTTAAGCAGTATTCAAATTAGGCTGACTACTTCAAGGTTTTTTTATTTTTTAACAATGAAATTGTGCATTTTAGTTGGTCCTACACTACAAATAAATTATTTTCGAGCATTTATTTCTCATTTCCAAGTCCTGTGTTTTTTTCCTTAAAATTCTTGACGGATAATCACGGAGATAAAACAATTTTTTGCTCTAGATTTAAAAAAATTAAAAATTTCTAGTTTATTTTTCATTTTGTTACAGTCAAAGGTTTTTTTGTATCCTAGCAACTACCATGTAACGATTATTTAACGTGGTAACTATGTTAATGGTATTTGTTTGTTGCTGTAGTAACAGATAATTTTCATTTTTTTTACATTGATTATACAGGGTGCGCCAGAACTCACGCCCCAGAGAAAAATGCCATATACCAGGAACATTTTATCTATGAAAATTTCGAAGTTATGATACTTTAAATTTTAATAATAATAATAATAATAATAATAATAATAATAAATTTAGACAAAAATATACCGAAAAGTCACTAAATTAAGTGAAAAATAATGAATTTTGCTTGTTTACATCACGTTTTTTTGTAAATTGGGTTGAAAATGACCTTTTTTATGATTTTTTGGGCGTTTTAGCACGTTTTTCAATTAAAAATTTACAAAATTATTTCGTCACAAATTGTGTTATTTTTACTTTTGTGCTAAAAAATTTGTTCAAAAATAATACTGTTTTCCGTTTTAAGACGTTTTTTAGTCAGAATCGCAATTGTTTTGAAAATTTTCATCGAAAATGAGGTAAAAAAATGAATAAACTGTCACAAAACTAAAGTCACTTTTGCTTCTTTGGAGAGTTTAAGCTTGTTTTTGAGGCGAAAAATCATCTGGTTGCTTTTCCAAACGTTTTAGCAGATTTTTCAATCAAAAGCACAAAACTTCGTCAAAAATAAGCCGAAAAATCACATAATTAATTCGAAAAT